ATCTGAATCAGATCGGTTTAAATTTAATCTGAATCAGATCAGATTTAATCAGATCAGATCAGATCAGATTTTACTTAAATTCAATCTGATCTGAAATTAATTAAATCTGATTTGATTTGATCTGATCTGAATCAGATCGGTTTAAATTTAATCTGAATCAGATCAGATTTAATCAGATTCAAATCTGATCTGATCTGATTCAAAACTGATTAAATCTGATCTGATCTGAATCTACTTCTGAATCTGATCTGATCTGATTTGAATCTGATTTGAATCTGGAATAAATATGTTATAAATTCTAAAGCTATAATTTGTAAATATGTAATTCAGCCAGAATTATGCACTTAACTCCGGCAGGAATTATTGAATTTCCTAAAAAGGAATTTATGGTTACACAAATTTGGATCCTATAAAAATCGATTTTTGTGGAATGGCTATCGCCAAAAAAGGAGGACGTCTAAAGCGGAGTCAAATCACGTGACTTCAAAAAAAATTTATTTTCTAAATAAAATTTTTCGCAATATATATATGATCTTTTAAACATATATACTAAGTGTATTTTGTCCTGCTCTGCAAGTTTACTTAGAATGACAAAATGAGTTTTGAATGCCGTTTTCGATTTATTTGACTTTTCATTTTTGTCTATCCATTTTTGGATATGATTGGCAAAAAAGCTTTTGCTAATATATAAAGTGAAAACCAGCATTCAAAATCTACCTTCTAACCTTAAGTAAACTCGTAGAGCAGGCTAAAATACACTTATTTTATGATTTTCAAGTTTATGTTAAACTTGATTCATAAATCACTCATATTATATCGAATTACGTGATTTGACTCCGCTTTAGACGACACCCAAAAAAGGAAATAAGCGACATATCCGTTTTGGCTGAAGTTTAAAATTATGAATTAATTCCAGCCGGCATTATGAATTCGGCTGAAATTATTAGTTAAATCAAATCTGAAATCTGAATCAAATCTGTCAGATCTAATCTGATCAGATTCAGATTTTAAATAAGCCTAATCTGAATCTGATTTGATCTGATCTGATTTGATTTGAAGCTAATCTGATTTGTTCAGATCAAATTTTTTTTGATCTGAATCTGAACTGCAGATTAAATTTATCTGATCCGATCAGAATCTGACAGATCAGATTTTTTTTAGAGCATTAATTAATATTGTGGTAGGCGCAGTTTCTGTCTTAGTGTATGTCAACAAGTTCATCCATCATAACCCAGTTCCAATGGACGTTATAGTGGGAATGACGTGAACGTATTTGGCAAAACATTATTAGATTAGATTTGATTTTTATAATTTGATTTTAGGATGAGTGAAAATTTAGGTAGAAAGAAAGTCGTAAAATGTCACTTTAAATAAAATTTGAACAATACCTCTTTGGGTTGATTTTATTTCTCGTTTCAATTAAAATTTAATTTATTACATTTTTCATCATTAAACATATTAATTAAATCTCATGCAGATATGGATTATCTAAATATAAATATCATGATTAAATCAAAAAATAAAAAAAATCTTAGTTTAATTTCAGTTTCATTTCAATTAAGGGATAAATCGTCACTCATTAGGATAAAATGATCGGCAATCTATAATTAATTTTACGGGCTTTGTATTAATAAAAAAAACCATTTTTTGGAATGTTTCGTTCTTTATATTAAAATTTTTCTAATGAGTAAAAAAAACAGTATACAATAACTCTTCTAGCCAAGAGAGATATTATACAAGACTTACATTATGGTATTTATGCACAATATTGATAGGAATCACGCAAATTTGACCAAACTAGCGAAACTAGCGTTAAGTCTAATCAAATCTGTATTAAAGCAATATCTTATCGAATGTTTATGTCTATTAATTGCTGTTTAAATGATGAAAACTTTGCAATAACAATTCTTGATAATAAACAAACACACAAGCCAAGTTTTCGTTGTCTTTGTAATGGCAAAGATTCTGGAATTCAACAATCGGCTTCTGCAGCAATTAACAACACGTATAAACAAGTTTTTAGAAAGAATAAGACAGAGTATTCGGGAATGGTTGTTATGGGATTTGATGATGAAATAATTACTAATGAATTATTGTTTGATATTTATTTATTCCAATTTTTATTCGTATAGATCAAATTTTAATTGTGGTTAGTCAAATTGGTATTTCATCTCATAAAGGTTGTTACGGTGCTGGTCCAGGATTTCTTTATACACTTATAACAAAATATAAGGGCAAACAATCACTTTTTGTACAATCTATAGAAGATAATTGTAATTTAGATGTTTATGATGGCGATATTAATCAATACCATAACGAAGGAATTAATCCTAATGAAATTTGGAAGTCTATTAATATTCTTAACAAGTTTGATGGAGCAGCTTTATTTGGAATTACCAATTTATATGTTTAACAAGAATTGGACAAGTTAAGAAATAATTCAATCACATGTACGAGCAATGATTGGAATGATATTGATAAGTTAAATCTTATATTTAGACAACAAATAAAAACTTGTAAAATTGCCAGTCCATTTTCAGATTGGTCAAAATTATTTAAGAATTGGTACGAACAAAATAATACAATAATTCAATTTCCTAATATTTTATTTCAAATCTATCTAGCTAATTATCAGTTTCAAGAAAAAGAATTAGGTGCATGGCAAGCAATGATTCGTGCTTCTGGTTGTATTAATATTACTCCATTTACAAAAAAACAACACATGATCAAATTTTAGACAAAAGCACCAGATCCTTTATCTGATAGAGACAATTTAGCAAATCTTTTTAAATCGGGAATGTTATTGTTGGTAGAAAAGAAATCTTCTTTTCAGCCTGATAGTGAAGGTGAAATACTTTGGAAAAGTCTGCAAGAAGCTTTAAAGGCAAATAAAAGAGGAATTGATGGAAAAATAAGAATTCTTTCAATTATTGCTGAAAATTTTACATATAAAAAACTCAAAGAAAAGCTTAAAGTAAAATCTTTTTACCATCAATTTCCAATTTCTTCTTTGTCACCAACCTTCAATTCTTTTTCATCACAAATCTTCAATTTCTTCTTTGTCACCAACCTTCAATTCTTCTTCGTCACCAATCTCCAATTTCTTTTTTGTCACGTCACCAATCTTCAGATTTTCTTTGTTACCAATCTCCAATTTCTTTATCATCACCAATCACTAATTTTTCTTTGTTATCAATCCCAATTCTTCGTCATTGATTTTCAATTCTTTATTTTCATCAGGTAGGAAATGATATAGTTAATTCTGCATGAAAACACGCAAGACTATATGGTCTAGAAGTACCAACCTTAGTAAAAACATAAAGAACTGTTAAACGTATGTCAGAAGTTAAAGAAAAACAATTTTTAATGTTTTTTCAAGATTGAAATATAGTTACACAAGTTCTTACCGGGTTGATAAAAATGAATTACCAATATTATATATGCATGATCAAAAAATTAAATTGTGGAAAAAATTTGAAGAAACTTTTCCTAATGGAATGAAAAAAATATCATTTATGGGTCAATTAGCAAACTGCAGTAATATTAAATATCGAGATAATATAGGTGGATTTTGTCTTACCGGTAATGATTATGGCTATATTCCATTTGAATCCTTAATAGCTATTGCATGCAATACATTTTTACAAAAAGATCAACTAGTAAGTAAAAAAATATTCTTTGATAAATATATTATTGTAATAAAATACATAATAATCGTAATTTACCTATTTATCACATTATTAGAATAGTGTATTACAAAAAATTGATGCTTTGAAACGTCATCTGCGTCGTGATTATTATGAAAAAGAATTAGTGGTTAATGCTGATGGTACAACAAAACATGATTCTTGTATTTCTCATTGTTTGCCATATGCTTTTGGAAATTGTCTTGAAAATCATAACTCACAATGCTAAGAATGTGACCAATTTTTTGAATTTTTTGAATTCATGCATCTACATATAAAAAAAGATCAAATAGCTATTTTAGAAAAAAATAAAAAACACTTACAGTATTATTTGGCCCATTCAACACAAAAGATATATTTGAATTCTTAATTTAAAGCTACTTTGGCAAGTCTTGATGAGAATGGTGCATTATTTGTTGCCGATTACAAGATGAGAATTTTGCCAAGATCTGCTCGAGAAATAAAGGCAGAGTTTTTTGGTAAAAGAGGATGAACTCTTCATACGATCTTAATGTTTAGAAAAAAAGAAAATTGTGAAGAATTAGAGATAAGAGCTTATAATCACTGGTCAACTGATACTAAGCAAGATGCTTGGTTTACCGCCTCTTTATTTGAAGCTGGTTTTGAAACAATAAAACATACACCAAAATGAATCAGAATAATGTCAGACAATGGAGCACATTATCATTCATCAGAACTTATGGCTATAATTGCACATTGGAATGAATGGTACCAAAGTGAAGTTTGTGATTGGCAGTTTCTTGAACCAGGCGAAGCTAAAACAATTATTGATTCGCATCATGCTACAGTAAGTATTCTATTGCTTATTGCTGTGTAATAAATTACACATTAAAATCATATTTACCTTTAGATTGCCCATTCAATTAGAAGATATGTTCGAATTGGATATGATGTTTGTGAAGGAAAAGATATAGTGGAAGCGGCTAAACATTTATCTAGTATATCATTGGCAAATTTAGAACCAGATTGAGATCAATTGGGATCAAATGTCAAAATGATAAAAGGCATTTCAAACTTGTTTTATTGGAAATGGCCAGTTTCTGGTGAAATGATAGGTTATATATGTGCACGATCACTCCCACATTTTGGACTGTGAAACAATTTCTCTCCTTCTACAATTGCCAAACTTTGCATCAAACCAATTGTTCGTCCCCATCCAAAAATTTCTGAACAAACTGAACTTGAATTAGCTTGGACAATTCCAATTCCAACTCTACCAGGTGATCAATTGTAAAAAATATTTTTTTTAGGTTTGTTAAGAGCTTTTGGCTAATGCATTCTATAGATACAGATATGGTTGATCCTATTGTACCAGAATTTATGGATAATAATAATGAAAATGATGAATTAGAAGATGCAAAGTAAATAATGTGAAGCTTAAAACAAATATAATTCAAATTAATTTCTTACATGTTTTGTATTGAATTAGTTCTATTGACGTGAAATTTCAATTTTCTATGGGATGGGCGCTAAAAAGCAATCAAAAATTTGGAGGAAAAGGGAAAGAAAAAAGGATGAAAAAGAAAGTAAAGGAGTTGTTAAAAAGTTTTTTCTTGAATGGAAATCTCAACCAAAAAGATAAGATGTTAGCAAAGGATATATATAATGAATTGATGAAATTTGTTGAATCCGGAGAATTAGAAGCTGAAGATGTACCTAAGATAACAACAATACAAAATTGGATTTCAACTTATGCACGAACCTTCAAAGAACAAGCTACAGAAAACATGGTAAAAGATATTCGTGATGTGAGTTCTTTATAATAAGCAGAAATGTAAATTGTATATTAGAACGAAATACAAGAAATTATACGCAAAAACTAATAAATAAAACTAAATAAAGGCTTTAAAACTAAATAAAAACCAAATACAATTCGGTTGTGGTTAAAATTATTCAAAAATATTTCACTCAATATTTGAATCAGCTGGAAATTTGCAGTCAGAATGTTGTGTTCCTTCATAGTAAAGTCGATGATGATAAACTTTAGCGATTTCAACTTTGCAAGTGGCTTGGCTAGGATTGACACTACTTATTGCCGTATTCAGAATTTTCATTAAATATCACGTGAGAAAATGTCAATCTAACAAAAATCGGGTTTTAGCCATTTTTGGCAATGATTTGCATAAACCGTTATTATTAAATTTCACCTATTGGGTACCAAACTGTCACTTAAAAATAATTGAAAATCTTGTACAATCATGTCGGAAAGTATCGCCCGATTCAAATTTTATAGTAAAACATATAAAAAATTGAAAATTTCAGGCTATATACATATTCAACTTTCTTTTAATAATTATTTCTAAATTTTATATCATTTTAAAGCCAATACCATATTCTTTGAAATATTGATGTTTGAATTTTGGAAAAGTTAAAATGCAAGAGCTATTTTATTTATAAGGTAAAAAAGTTTTTTTTTATATATTTTAGATCTGAAAAATAAAATTTATATATAAAAATGAGCTGCATATATATTTATATTTCTTTTATTAATTATTTCTAAATTTTATATCACTATAAAGCCAATATAATATTCTTTAAAATAACAATATTTGAACCTTAGGAAGGTTAAAATGCAAGAGCTGTTTTAATCTTAAAACTCAGTATTTATTTTTTATATGTAATTTACTATGTAATAGTGAATCAGGCAATACTTTCTAACGTGACTGTACATGTTTAATTGTTTTAAATATAAATATCAATATATCATATTTAAAAATAAAACAATTTATTATTAGCACATTCTATTGAATTTTAAAAAAATCAATTTTTTTTTTTTTAAAAAAAATCATCAATATAAAAATAAAACAATTATATTCTGATTAAATATTTTGCGTACATTTCTTAAAAAAATCATAAAAAAAATCTTGTACATTGTACATCGTACATGCAATTACTAAATATCATACCCTTGTGATAAATAAAAAATTACGCAACACAAATTCAACACAAATTTAACAAATTTAACAAAATTTGCCCAAAATTAAAGCTCCGCAAACTGATCTGACAGATCGGGTGATCCGACGGGTTGACCCAAAATATTCAGGTCAGGTCATCAAATTCATGCCCTGACACAAATCGGGTCAGTGCTGGTCGGTACCCGACCCAACCCGTTGACCTGACATATATTTGGGTCAAATAAATTAAAAACGCCGAAACTAAAAGTTTCAGCATTTTTTACATATAAAATCAAAAAGAAAACGCTGAAACTAATGATTCCAGTGTTTTTACATGTACAATCAAAAAAAATGTCGAAACTATCAGTTTCAGCATTTTTACATGTAAAATCAAAAAGAAAAATGCCAGAACTAATTATTCTGATGCTTTTACATGTAAAATTGAAAAAAATGCCAAAACTATCAATTTCAGCGTTTTTACATGTAAAATCAAAAGGAAAAATGCTGGAACTAATTATTCTGGCGCTTTTACATGTAAAATTGAAAAAAAATGCCAAAACTATCAGTTTCAGCATTTTTACATGTAAAATCTAAAAGAAAAATGCCAAAACTAATTATTCTGGCGCTTTTACATGTAAAATCGAAAAAAAATGCTGAAACAAATAGTTTCAGCATTTTATATATAAAAACAATAGTAAAAAATGTTACAAAACATTTTTTTACAATATTTAATAATAAAACTTCAGGTAACCCAAGTTACCTGAAGTAACCCGAATACTTTCAGATCAAATAAGTCGGATTGGATCAGAACGGTTTACCCGACCCGAGCTAACCTGAAAAAAAATTTCAGTTCAGGTTAACCAGGTAACCTGACCTGATCCAACCCGTGCGGAGCTCTAGCCAAAATTAATAATTTTTTACCAGAATTACCAACACAAATTGAACACAAATTAAACACAAATTTCAGTTACGATTTATTTATGTCACATCCACGTTGTTAATAATTAAATAAATAAATCTGCATTTTATTTATGATATAAAAAACGTGCCCATAAATTCTTTTAAGGATATAATTTTATTAAAATAAATTAAAACTTTTATATCAAGTGACTAAAAAATATATTTATTTACAAAATATTCATTTTGTTTATCAAATCGGGGTACTATGTGAACGACACTATGTATAGACTCTATAGTTACAAAGTTATATAATTCTATCAATTTTAAGTGAGGACATCCATATAAATATGGGTTCCTTTTAGATTTAAAATCGTACCATTGAATTAATGCGAGATTTAGCAGTAAGTCTGTTAATACTTCTGCTAACAATAAGGCCTATAAATAATAAATATTTATTAATACTTTTATAATAAATTATTACATAAATTGGAAAATACCTGTCCATAACAAAGTCCTTTGTCTGATATATAATCATTTGATTCTTCAGAATTCATTGAAATAGCTATGTCGCTAAATCATACTTTATTATGATACCTGTTTGTGGCACACATTATGGCACCATTTTCCAGTATTACCGATCCATATATGTTTATTCAGGTTTTACTAATAATTGTAAAACCATCAAGTAAAACTAGATATGAATCCAGACAACTTATAAATCTAGCAAAACCGGTCTGCATTTTATTGTCTACAGAATTTTTTTTTCCATTAAAAAATGTATTTGCATCTTGTAAAGAGAATTTAAAGAGTCTTGCAGAAAATTTACAAGTGTGAGGTGTTTTTGCTGGATTTACTGAATGTTGAGACATTCTAATAGATATTGCTTGACGTTTTATCTATTAATTTAATTTCCATCTTAAGTTATATAATAAATATATACAATAAATAAATTTCCAAATACTTACAGTTTGTAAAAGCTGAGGTTTGACATCTTTTTTATTGCTAATTCGGTAGGGTATTTTAACGAAATATTTGTGAAGACTTTCGTAAGTTTCTGTGGTATAGCCATTTATTACGCCATAAGATTATATTGAGTCAATAATGTGATAAACCCATGAATTAAGGTTGCTGGGTGAAACTAAGTAGTTTAGACAATTGCAATTGTTGAAATCGAAACTAGTTGAAATATTTTATTAAAAAATTAAAAATTTGCGAAATTGCGAAACTGATGAAACTGGTAAAACTGTAAAAAGTTTAGACATATTTTTACATAATAATTAATAAAGTTTACCATTTATTATAATAAATTATATAATTTAATATAACAATTATAAAATTTAATATACATTATATTGGATAGTATTTATATGTATTATGACTGAATAATATATTATTTTATTGAACTATGGAATTACTTTGAATTCCGCTCTCTATTTATACAAATTTTATGATACTTTCTATTCTAATATATGCTATCTATGAAAGTTTTTTTTTAGCCGGTCTAAACAAAAAACAACGAAGGTTACACAAGATGATAAACGAAGTTACACGTGTAGTAAGAATGGAAGGGAGGGAAAAATGCCAAGCTCTGGGCAATCTCTACAAGAATAATCAGGACAATAACGCGTCCTCAATACAACACACAAGTGACGAACGATCACAACAACAAAAACAAAAAGAATATTTAGTGGGTGGTGAAGCAGACAATGATATACACCCAGAAACAAATGAACTAACGTTTGAAAAGGGGGATTTCAGAAAGGATCAAGACAACATAGAAGAAGTAGTCGAGTCCTTGACAAACGAAGAAAGTATTAACGCATTCTTAGCAAAACAAAGGCTAAGATTTGTTAAGGGAAAATTGAATGACCAAGAGACGAAAAATTCAATGTTTTTAGAAATGCACATTGCAGCACATAATATAGATGGGATTGCTAGTGTCCCGTCTATACAGAAACTTCATAATTTATTGGAATTTGGTAAAGAAATAATATCGACATTATGGCTATATCAGAAACCAATACAGACTATCGTCAGGAATATTTTATAAACCAGGACATTAAGTCAAAGGTCTATTCGATAATCTTTAGTGAACGTGATCAAAAAACTAAGGGATCGGGAATGGCACTTGTGATCCATAACAAATGGATGAAACATTATTACTCAGTAGTACGCATATCCCCATATATTCTAGTAGTTAAATTTTTATTCATACAGAGAGAAATATGGGTCTGGTCAATATACGCCGCTTCTAACAATCAAAACATGAGAAAAAATTTGATTGACGAATTGATAATAGCTATGGAGGGACATGAACGATCAGTTCACAACACCGTAGTATTGCACGTTGGTTTAGGGGATTTTAATGACACAATTAACAATAGGATAGACCGATCACCCAGTACCGGACAACCAGGATCTCAATTCTTAATACAACTATTGCAATTAGGTCTTTATGATGTGTGTAGAAGTCTTTATCCGGATGCAGAAATATTCACACATGAGAAATGGGATAAAAATAAAAGCAAATCAGGTCCTATCTCAAAATCGAGGATTGATCAAATCTGGATCACACATAAACCCGATGTGATTCCAGTAGAGTTTTCGGTGCATTCATCACAGATGATCACCAACAGTCATCATAGTATAATTTCAACAACACTAAACATATCAGGATTCATTAGGAATAATTTCCGGCATTGCGTCCCAGATCAATTACAGGATCCAGATTTAGGAGATAAACATCAAAACAAACGAATAGTAGATTTTAGTAAAATAACCAATGTACAATGGGAAAATTTTACCGAAACTTTAGATAGAGAAATAGAAGCATGGGATTTCCAACAACTAATAGATGGATTTAATTGTGAAATACAATTAAGGGACGGAAAGGACAATGATGGAGAAGAAATAAAACGAAGATTCAATGAACTTTGGAATAATGTTATGAGCGCTATTTCTATAGCAATGAACATAGAGCTTCCCATGAAATTAGTTAAATATCCAGGAAGTCGCAATACAAGACATAAATTATCATTTACAGATAAAACTATGCGACATACTACTAAATTGGAAAGTCTAATTAGGAAAATATGTAAAGATCAGGATTACCTTATTGCCAAAGATGCTCATTGGATAGATTATTGGTTGAATAGATTTAATAAATACAATGATGATTAAAGAAGGAAAGAATATGATAAATTCATAGATAAGTATGAAAAACTTATTATTCCTACACATGATCTTTTTAGAGACACATGGATTAATAATGTTAAAGGTGTAGTTAAACAAAGAAGCAAAATAGACAAAAATTTTTTACAGGCACAACGTCTAAGTAAGATACAAGAGAGCATAGAAAAGCGATGCAACATTATACACTCAGATATTCCTAAGTGGCTACTTTCCACACAAGATGCTGTTAAGGAACACATCATTATAGATCGAGCAGTAATTTCTAACAAAAATGAAAGTGTTAGATTAGCAATTGATCCTAAAACAATTAGAACCCATGCAAAAGATACTTTTGCAGGAATTTTACGAAAACGTAATACCAAATCAATAGAACAGGATGCTTTCTGGAGCAATATATATAGGCCAAAAGGTGAATTCACTGAGTGTATGGCTAATTTGATGGATGAGATAACATTAGAAGAATGGCAAAGAACACTTGAACTGATAAACACGAACTCAGCACCAGGTCCTTCAGGTATCGGATATGCTATAATCAAACACATTTCAGACAAATCTAGCTCCATTATATTAAAGGTCATTAATCTATCTTTGAAGTTAGGAGTTGTGCCAGAACAATAGAAACAATCGCTCATTCATCCAATTCCAAAACCGCAGAAATTTGATTATATTTTAGCCAACACGCGTCCCATAGCGTTGTTAGATAATATCAGAAAATCTGTAACCAAATTATTAACAAATCGATTAAGCACAATTTTGACAAATAATAAAGTATTACGCGGATTAAATTTTTGCGGTCTTAAAGGGGAAGACACAGCAATACCATTACGTTTAATGAATGATATAATAGAAGATGCAAGGGAGAATGGACGAGAACTTTGGGTGGTAACCCAAGATATGATGAAAGCATACGATTCAGTTAGTCTGGAGAGTTTACAACTAGCATTAAGAAAGCTAGACATACCAGAAAAATTCATTTTATGGATTACAGAATTATTCAAAAATAGACAAATGAGTGTAATAACAGCATTTGGCCCTAGTCCAACCTTCATAGGGGGAGATGGTATTGATCAGGGTGATGCGATCTCACCTCTTCTCTGGAGAATTTTTTACGATCCATTACTCGTAGCTATTCAACAAGCATGCAATCAGCAACAAGGGTATGAAATGGTGAATACATGGCCCTCAGACATTCAGGATCGATCAACATGGCAACAATATAGACTAAGAGTACCAGTTATAGCCTATATGAATGATACAAGTTATTTGGATAGTTCAGGGGATAAAATTCAGGCATCAATTAATATAGCCACACAATTCTATTATCTCCATGATGTAGATATAAATGGAAAAAAATCTGAGCTGATGGTAATAAATCCTAAATTACCTAGAGATGAGTTATATATCAATATTGGACGTGATAACTCAAAGGTCCAAGCTACAGATAAAGAGATA